TCTCTTATCCATATAGATAGCGCCGACGAGGCACCGCCGTTGTGTCGCGTTTCCACGTATCGTCGATATGACGTTATCGTTTCGAACAAATTGCGAGGACTTATATGGACTCGCGCGCGTTTGTGTGTGTTCGCGTCATTATTACTTTAATAATTGCGTAATCCAGCGCCTTCGCAACCGTCTTTAAGATAAAATTCACGGAACGTATCAAACGGTTTTTTACTTCGAATTCGCGCGTCGAATTTAGAAAATTAAAAAAAAACGATAGATACGTATTGTATTTTTTGTATTTAAATTTTATATGAAGATTAATATATTTTATATATGTGTGTGTTAAATAATATTTGATTTTTTTATTTTTATTTCACGACGCAGTTTTTTTTATTTTTTTATTTTTATATTTGCTGAGTGTCGCATTCTGTTGCTCGAGTTTGTCGCGAAAGTAAGTCGCGCGCGCGAGTCTCTTTAGTCCGTGCAAAAATCACACTTAATCGTCGCCGTGCGTGCGTGTGCGTGCACGGCGTCTCGGCCGGCGCCGTGCGCACGTGAGCACGTCACGCACACGCAGGCGTAACTGGAAAGCGGCGCACGTGCCACGCGGTCGCGCAGGTACGTACCTACCTACACGCGAGCTTCGTATCGAATCGCGCGATGACACATGCCCTCTCGCCCTCCCACAACGGATTTTAAGGTCTCTGTTCCTCTTGTAGGGACGTCGTCCAACTCTCGAACGATATTATTCGCGCAGGACGCTTGGTTTTTTTTATTTTATTTTATTTTTTTATATTTTTTATCCCGAGTTGCACTCGCTGCAATGACAAGACTGACATCGCGAAATCAATATCATCAAATACAATCCGTCGTGCAAGGTCGGGGTTACACTTGGACGTTCATTTTGCGTTCGCGTTGTTTTACGATCGCCAATCTGTCGTCCGTTGATAATTAAAACACGATTCTGGGGGAAAAAACCGTACTTCACATATTAACTCGATATTATATTAATTGCGTATGAGATTGCTCTCACTTGATTGTGTGTAATTAGATATTGAATTTTTGTTTTTGCTCACATATGAAGAACTTTTTCCCGCGGGAAAACAACGTGTCCGCTTTTAACGCAACCTCGACCTAAAATTGTGCGATCTTGTCTCCTTTTTGATCGATACGTTATGTAATTCCGTCTGCAACTCGAACGAAGAGATAAGAAAACGACAACTCGAACGTGATACAGCGCGCGCGTCTTATTTGTGTTCTCATCTAAAATCAAGATTGACAGTTGAACCGACGCGGCAGTTCTCGTTCAATGCGCGAGTATTTGCGCATCGACAATATTTCCCACGTGGACAACACACAGATGTCCGACGTCTAAACATCGGATAAGATACGGAAAAATGCGAAATTGTTGTGCGAGATAGAAATTTTCCCAGGAAGAGATGTATTTTACGTCAATTCGATAAGTTTGTTTTTTTTTTTTGTGTTCATCGCGCGTCAGTCCGGTCCAGGTTGGAGATGATAAAAGAAATATAAAGGACCGCGCGTCGGAGAAAGGAATTTCCTGGATTTTAATATGCGAACGCGCCCTTGGCCGTCGGCTTCTCTGCACACGTTTTTCTCGTATGTATATGTAAAGTCACGCCGCTGGCACTTTCCCTTTTCAAGATCGATTTTGGCGCCGTGCGTCCCGACGGCGCAAGTCGACGACGTCGGCGGTTCCTCGGGCAGGGCTGTATTTACAAAACCCGTTTGCCCTTTCGTAATTTTTACGAGAAATCAAATACATTCTTGTTGCAATTTTCGCGTAGCGAATTTAGAAAAAATTTGCGCCCCATATTTTTTTTTCTAAAAATAAAAATAAATGAATAAAAAAATACGTTTATTGAGGGATTTGCAAAACGTTGTCACTCGTTTTTCACATTTATTTTTATTAGAAAATAACACATTCATTTTTTCTGTTCAATCTCTGCGCACATAACAGAATCCAGTCTGATCTCGACGACATTTGACGCGTCACGTTCGAGATTTCTCTCTCAATTCAGTTTTTTTTTTTTTTGTTTTTTCGAGAGTACTTTGCGTCGCGTCATTGGAAAGCCTCCAAATTTCGCAATTTCGGATCCGCCCAGGTTTTCAGAGAGTCCATTCCACTCTCTCTCTCTCTCTCTCTCTTTCTCTCTTCTTCGATTCTCATCGGCTACAGCGCTCGCTCCATCGGCTCGTTAACCGACAAAAAACGCGGGGGCGGCGAAAGAGGAGGGGGGAGGGGAGGGTAGGGCGAATGGAAGAAAAAGAGTAGCCGAAAAAAAGGTGTCTTAGCCTGGGACATCAAAAGCTCTTCCACGGGGGTGACCTGCCACGATCCATCCCTGTCCGCAAAGGCCCTCTCTCTTTCCTCCCTCTCCTCCTGACGCTCCCTCCTCGCTCTTTCCCCGCGTCCCTCTTCCGTCTCTCTTACCCAGGTTGCCTCGCGAAAACCCGCCGCCTTTCGTTAAAGGTGACCCGACGAAATCGCCGGCGAGTCACACGTGCGTGCAAAAGGGTTGAAGGGAAAAGCGCGGGGGGGGAGGAGGAGGAGGAAGCGCGGGGAAAAGATACACCGATGTGGGCGGGTGGGCAGGAACCACGAGGCAGACGGTGCGCGCTTGCACGCACTTCACGTTATATCACGGATACTGCCGAAAATCCCCTAAAGGGAAGTACGCGAAACAAAGGCCGTCCCTCCCATCCTCTCTCTTCCCGCTTTGTCCGTCGCGCTCCTCTCTCTCGTGTCCCCTCCCTCGCGAGGGCCCCTCGCGAGTTTAGCGCATCTTTGTCTCTTTCACCCTCTCTCGATCTCCCTTTTTTATTCGTTAATTTCGTACGCTTGTGTATAAATGTATGCTTGTTATATATTCGTTTACGCGATGTGTCTCTTCCGTAACATAGTAACCGAACGAGTTGATAAAGCGCTTAAAACTTTGTTGAAAAGGATTTTTCTCACACAGATTGTGACAGATTTTTTGACAGTGTTATTCGGTTTGTGTTTGTTCGTTAAACAACATTCGCGATGTTGCAATATATTCGGTCACGCCGTCAAGTATTACGGGTATTATATTAGTTTCTCGTTGCATGTAAGTGCGTCGCGCTATCGCCTAATGCATCGTTGCGTGCGAGCGCCGCGTTTCGCTTTCAGCAAATTATTTTTACGATACACGAAAAGCTCGATGATAATTTCCTGTCTTGATGCGATTCGCGAAGATGATAGAAAAGAGCGAGTTGTGTGGAAAAATTACATCAAAAACTCGCTTTAAGTGTGTTCCGGCAGAAAATGGCGAACTTTGATACCGGTGTTTATTTGTGACTATTTTTTTTTTTTTTAATTTTAATTTTACAACTGCTGTTAAAAAGTTCCTTTTTCCGAAAAAAAAAAACAGTCTAGACAGAACTTTCGAACTAACTCGAGATTACGATGTTTATCGACGAAAAATACGTGGGAACATCAACTTTAGTGAGATTATATTTTCGAGATAATTGAATTTTTGATGAAGGAGAATATTATTCTCGTATGTCAGAACATTTGGAAATTGCGCTTGGGGTCAATCGGTTGATTCCGTGAAAAAACAACGTCCTTCCCTCCCCGGATTTCACTCCGGTGGAAGATCCTGAGGGTCGTTCGCCGCGTCTTCTTCAAGGTTGCTCGAAGGCAACCGCCGCTCGGTACCGGGCGATGAGTGGGTCGCCCTGCTGAAAAATCGATACGTACGAAAGTGAGAGTCCGTTTTCCCTCGGTCGTTCCACCCTCCTTTTTGTTCTTCACGCGTCCTCTTCTTACGTACTTGCCGTTTGGTTCATTCATGTCGTCGCATCGGCGGTGGCCGCGCCGATGCACGGCTAGATGGGCAAACGAGCGCAAAAGCACGCCGATCCAATTCACGCTCGTGCGGTCCCGAACAAAGTAGGTACGCGGCGTTGTCGTAAAACAAACTGAAGAAATTTAAGACCCTGTGTGTTTTAAAACCTGCCGTAACCCGGAATAGATAGTGTGCGTTGCGACAAAAATTACCTCATTTCAGAATTCTCGGAAAATTTTTGTAGCATTAGGTAATCCCGTAATTTTTGTTTATCAACTTGTAAGCTTTTTATCGTCGTACGTGACACACGATGTACTGATAAGCTTTGCCCGAAATTTCGAAAAGTATTTTCTACATTTTTATATTTTCTGTATTGTCTGTATTTCTATATATTTTTTTGGAGTAGGAGGGAGGAGGGAAGAGACGTGTAATTCTCTCTCTCTCTCATGTTAGAAAAATATTTTCGAGTAAATGTAATCACATACGTTGCTTCAAAAAATAAAAATATAATATAAATCAAATATATGTTATATATTGTGTATTAATTAACAACATGTGTATATTATTATATTGTTATATACTAATATATATGTATATCGAAATTAACATAATTTTTTAAATTAATATTTTTAAAATAGAACTGCTGTCGAACACAACAACGTATGTGATTAACTTAACAAAAATTTTTCTCATCTGCGATATTATTAGTTATTTCTTATACAACACTTGTACAACACGCCGGCATTATCTGATAGTGTGACACGAGCGTTGTAGCTACAAGTCGAGTTGTGAGGAAAACGATAACATCGCTATCAAATGTAAACAAGCAACGACTTGCCTAGGTTAAAGCTCGAATTCCAAAGTTTATTAGTAATCATCGAAATCTCGCCCCGAATTCATGCCGCGGATATATTCATCTGTCACTTCCAACAACACAGTTGTTCGCCGTCAATCGTTTGAGACAGACGTCGTCGTCCTGGCGTCATGGAGAATTTGTACTGCATATCAGTTTTGCATTGTTCACACGTTTGCAACGGAGTGTCACCCTCGTATAAGATAGACGTGTAAACAATTTAACAAATATTTTGTTTTCTCACGTTAACGCAATTAAACGTCGTGTAATAATGTGTTTTGTTATAATACAAAGCGATTGAGTGTTGATTTTTGCATTTTTTTCAGCGGTAGCTCCAAAGCCGTGGTGAGCAATCTGCCGGCTCATGTTCGATTAGAAGACCTCGAGGCGCTGTTTTGTAATTACGGAACTGTCCAGAACATCGAGAAACTGACGTCGCGAGATCCAAATACCCAGACCCAGACCCTTATCGTCAGCTATGAGACGCAAGAGCAAGCACAGCAGTAAGTATCGGCGTTATAGATTCATAGTTTGCGAGAAATTCGTCAAAGAGAAAGCTTTAATTGATTAAAGGGACCGAAATATATTGTTCTCGCGTTTTCGATATATTAAATCGTTGCCGTTAAACATTTAAAATACGTTTTACTCAGAGATGAATTGAACGGGTGACGTGGCGTGTTCGTGATGTGTCAATCTTATTTTTGGAAAGTAATTTGTGTTTGTGTGTTTCAAGGAGAATAACAAGTATCTTAACATATATTTACACGCCATAGAATTCAGAGATACGTTATTAGGGAATTCGTTTCAAATGTGTTGCGCGCGCGAAATGATCAAAGAATCGGACGACTTTGCTGTTCACAGGGCTGTGAACCATTTGAATGGCTACGAGTACGAAGGCAGTCCGCTGAAAGTGGAGATGTCTTCGGCGGAGAGCCGACGAAGAGGCCGCAGCCAGCGGAGCGGCGGTGTCGCATTTTCCGGATTGCCTGGTTCCGGTCGGCAGACCGATTTCCCGCTTCGCATCCTCGTCCAATCGGATATGGTCGGCGCGATAATCGGTCGGCAGGGCTCCACCATTCGGCAGATCACGCAGATGACGCGCGCCCGCGTCGACGTGCACCGCAAGGATAACGTCGGCTCGCTGGAGAAAGCCATCACCATCTACGGCAATCCGGAAAACTGCACCAACGCGTGCAAGAAGATCCTGGAGGTTATGCAGCAGGAGGCTAATAACACGAACAAGGGGTACGACGACGACTCGAGTCGCGTTGTTGATCCTCCTGAAGCGCAACCGTAATATTTTCAATGTCACTCGAATGATATAAATTTTAATTAATAATTCTTTTGTCTCTTCGTGTTTGTCCGCGAGTTTTTTGAGTATTGATTATTGATTTTGGATTCTGTTTTCCACATTACATTTGCTGATAAAATTTTTTATTTGGTTTTTTTTTCTTTTAAAATTGATCATTTCGAGCTGCTTTTTTTTTTTTGTCGTTGATCGAGTTGCGAGATATTAATCGTATCATTACATTGTGTTTCACCAACAGTGAGATCACCTTGAAAATCCTCGCGCACAACAATCTCATCGGCCGAATCATTGGAAAGGGCGGTAATACTATCAAGAGAATTATGCAAGATACAGATACAAAAATTACCGTAAGCAGCATCAACGACATCAATAGCTTCAATCTCGAGCGTATTATCACGGTCAAAGGCACGATCGAGAACATGAGTAAAGCCGAGTCCATGATTTCCAGCAAGCTGCGTCAGAGTTACGAAAACGACCTGCAAGCTATGGCTGTAAGTCTTATCTTATATCACATATCGCGCGTATGATTGTTCCATCGTTGATTCCAACGTCGCGCACGTTTCGAAAGTTTGTCAACTACAGAATATTTTGATTTTTATTTAATTATCTGTGCTCGTTGTTTGTAAAATTTATACTGTTTATTTTTTTTCTTTTTGCTTAATTTTTATTTTTAAATTACTTTGATATCGAAAGTGGTTGACGCAGAATAAGTCGTGTTTAAACGTAAATACGATATGCAAAACCGCTTATAATCGATATCATAACTCTCTGTATCAGCCGCAAAGCATGATGTTTCCGGGTCTGCATCCGATGGCGATGATGTCCACCGCCGGCATGGGATACAGCTCGCGCGGACCCGGTCTATACGGTTCGGGACCCGCCCCGTATCCCTACCAGGGCAGTTTACCCACCCAGCAAGGCGCATCCGCCAGCGACACCCAGGAGACTACCTTCCTGTACATTCCTAATAATAGCGTTGGCGCTATTATCGGTACCAAGGGATCCCATATTCGTAATATCATAAGGTTCTCCGGCGCGAGCGTGAAGATCGCTCCTCTTGAACAGGACAAGCCGGCCGAGCAGCAGACCGAGAGGAAAGTCACCATTATCGGGTCTCCGGAATCTCAATGGAAGGTACGCGCGTGCGATATTTTATTTCGTTATTTTTTTTTTCTACAAATAAACTTCGTCGACAACGCGATCTCCTTCTTTTGCGTATTTCCACTTTTCAACTTAAAATAAAATTTTCCACGAAAAAGTATTACAAATTATTTTGTAATCAAGTTAATATGATGATCGTATCTTGCAATTTTTTAATTTATTAAAACAAAATTTCTCTAAATATCGCGCGAATTATGTAGTTCGGTGGGTTCATGAAGTATTTTAACGCGCGTTAGTTTCGATGCCGTGTTGGCAGATAGGTGTCATCGTTGGTCTACCGGTACGAAGATCGCGAGTTCGAATCCCCAGTAGGTTATGACGAAGTTTTTAAAAATCATAGAGTTTATAAAGTTTACCCTGCTAATTTTGGGTGGATGTTGTCACATATGCATCAACTTGAATGAGCAGGAATATTAACGTCAAGGGCCCCGTACCGATCTCACCCAATTAACCATGTGAGGATCGGCCCCGTTTAACCCTTCGACAATTTTTTTTTTTATTTTGTACAAAACAAAACTGTTTAAAATTAAATTCGTTTTTTTAATAAATTTATTTTATTACATATCGTTAACCCCCTTCCTCTTAGCGATGAAATTTAATTTTTTGCTTTTTGCGCGTAATCGACAAAAATTGGTCAAATTAAAAATTTGTGATTTCAGGCTCAGTACTTGATCTTCGAGAAGATGCGGGAAGAAGGTTATGTTTCTGGTACTGAAGACGTTAGACTGACCATTGAGATTCTTGTACCTAGTACTCAAGTCGGTCGAATTATTGGCAAAGGCGGTCAGAATGTTAGGGAACTACAACGCGTAACCGGCAGCGTGATTAAACTGTCAGAACAGCAAGCTACTCCTCCTTCAGCCGAGGAAGAGACAACCGTCCACATTATCGGCCCCTTCTTTTCTGTTCAGGTAAGAGACACGAGATCTCTCAAATATGTAAAATTATTAGATGTAATATTTTTTTAATTTAATTTTGTTAAAGCGAATTTTTTACCAACAAATATTACTTTTATTTTTTATTTGTCTTTTAATCTTATTCGCGCATAATTTTCTTTTATAATCTTTCCTGCTAACTATTTTTTGTTTCTCAATTTCTTTCTCTCTTTCTCTCTTTATTGCGCAGTTATATTCCTGTTCTTTCATTCTTCTATTTGACAATTTTACTTTCTATATTTTGCACATTATCACACAATACTCCCATGAATGTGAACTATTTAATATATAATAAAATACAAGCATCAACGAGTAAATTTTTTCTCTTTTCCCCGCAGTCGGCACAGAGAAGAATCCGCGCCATGGTCCTGCAATCAGGCGCGCCCGGCGGAACGGGCGGTGCTGGCTCACGCGCCGGTCGCGGTAGTAGCCAGGAGGGTGCCTCCCGTTCCAAAAGAGACGGCAGCGCAACCTCCCAGAGCGGCGCGACGCCGCAGTCCAGCTCTCAGCAGCAATCGAGCGGCTCGCCATCTAGCCAACAGCAACAACCACAGTCGCCGCAGTAACATCGATGACACTCACCTGACGCGAACCGACGCCACAAAAGTTTTTTTATTCGCCGGAGTGGCCTCGTCGTCGCTTTGACATTCTCTCGTCGAGAGGCCAAGCTTATTGCGAATTACCTCCTCCTTTCGCGGGGTGCGCGCGACCCTCTCCTGCGAGGGAGGACGTCATTAATGAGAGTGCGCGACGCGTAGATCGCAACAGGAAAATGCGCGACAATATAACGTTCTGAGGATTAACTTTGATTCTAATAACGTGTCTCTCTCGTGAGTTAACGAAGAGAATTCTCTGATACGCCGGACCGCGTCCAATTCTACGAATCAGTTCTTGATACAAAAAACAAAACTTCCATCTCTCGCGGGTTTACCCGATTCTAGGAAATAGGTTGAGGACTCATTCGATGAGTTAGCCAGAATCCTGGAAGTTCATTCGTAGCGTTCGGCGAGTTTCCGGAAAAAGAGAGAGAGAGAGAGAGAGAGAGAGAGAGAGAGAAAAAGTTAATTCTGAGAATTCGAACAAGGATTCAGATTCCGGATGAATCCTTGACTCGATCGTGAGAAATGCCAGGAGTGTATTGTTACTATCTACGTCCTTGCACGACTGACTTTAATATCCTGGGCTTCGTCCAGGCAGCGCACTGCCGGTCGGCTCTCGTTGACAAGGACAAACCCTTCGTCGTGTCGTTTTCCCTTCCGCTCTGCGCGTCGCGTCTTCAATATACAATAATCGCGCGTTCGAACCCCTGCGACAGCGACGAAGCGACACGCACAGCCGCGCACGACCCAATTTCGCAGCGCTAACCACCACCGCCGCCGATGAAATAGGATGAAATAGGACGACGAGAACAAAATGATTAATAAGAAGAAAAAAAATAGAAAAAAAAAAAGAAAAACACACACAACCTTATTACCTCATTGCATTACGGTTAAAGATTTAATTAGATAAAAGTGAAGCGCGTGGGAAAAGCCGATTTAAACTAAACAAAAAAAGTCTATCTATTAAAGTTATTAATAATATACAGAGACGTTAATTAACAATTACATATTACGTTATACCTGTTACTACTACTACTACTGCAACTATTACTATTATTACCTACCTTACCTACCTATCTATTACTCTACTATTATTGCTATGCGATTTACTTATTTCTTTATTAGGACTACAGGAGGAAAGCGGTTTTTCTTTATAAAAAAAAAAAAAATAACAAAAAAGCAAAAAAACAAAAAGCAAACAGAAACCCTCAAACTAGATGCAGGTTTTTATACACACGAGTCAGAGACACTTAAAACAATAATAATAACAATACCAACAAGCTTAAGTAATATCTGAGACCGTTCGCGGAACGGCGGACTATCTGCGTTCCCGCTCGCGTAGACCATAATGCCTCAGGAGGAGAGGAAAAGAGAAGTTGACCCCCCGCGCCCCCCAATCCGCCCCTCCTCGCACTACGTAATACCAAAGAAGAAGCGACTATGAGTTTTTTCGTATTAGTGAAGTGAAATGCGTCGTGTACGCTTTATTCGCCTCAAGTTCCTCACCAAGAGCCACGAAAGAGAAAGAGAGAGAGAGTGAGTGAGAAAGAGTGAGAGGATGGGGTTCAGATAAACGTGAATTTTGGGAGGGGAGATCGACGAGTAGTCATCGAGATGTCGAGGACAGCGCCGACGAGACATCGAGTCGCTTGAGTGATTGATGACGATTGATGAAAAAAAAAAAAAAAAAGAAAATAACGAAATAACAAAAAAGGGGGAAAAGAGACTGCGAAAGAAGTAGAAAAACGAGGGTCCCGCGTGCAGTACCGAATGTTTTAGTGCCACGCGTTTTCAAGTAATCTTGCCGAGGAGATATTTCAGGGCAAATCAGAGAAAGAGAGGATGAGAAAGCGACTGTCGGTACGCGTGAAAAATAACGAGAAAGATAGAGAGGGAGAGAGAGAGAGTAGAAGATGAAGAAAGGAAGAGAGTGTGAGAGAAGGACAGACGGCGAGCGAAGGAGGGGACGTAAGGGAGACAAAAAGTAAACTGACAAAACTTATCAGGGATTTTTACTTTTACCATGAATGTAATAGTGTGTGAGTGTGCGTGTGTTGAATAATAATTATTAATTGATAAGTAATTGATTACTGATTAGAAGTTAGACGACGAGGAAAAGCAAACGATTATAGACGTGAGGAAAATTTAGGCTTGTAACGCGAGAGAATTTGGAAGAGCAAAATTGTGAGAGAGAGAGACGTTGAGAAAAGAGAGAGAGAGAGAGAATGAGAGAGCGGCGGTGGGAGAGCGAGGTGTCGCGACGTTTCCGTTCGCGCGTTGCCGTTCTCGCGCCGCTCGCTGCGGACGCTGCGTCGCGTCGGGGCTGCGAGCGTCGAGACGGAGCCTTCGCGAGGCGTCCCGACGAGTCTCTCGTGGTCTGTAATTTTCTCAAATTACGGGCAATTCAGTACGCGCGAGGCTCGTACGGGAACGTGAACCGCGAAGCGCAACGAGATCTCGATCTCGCATTCGATCTCGCGACTCGCGGCGCGTATAATCGGCCATTATTATCCCGCCACGAAAGGAAAGAGAAATCAAGAACAAGGATCGGCGAACCGGATCGGAGAAAAGAACGAAAGCGTAAAACTTTGGCCTCGAGGTCGTCGTTTCTCTCTGTAACGACGGCGCGTCACGCCTAGAGGCTTTTCTTCTTGATGTCGCGGCGGATATTCATGACCGAGTACACGTCACGCAGCCTCTGTGTCGAGTTTTTTTTTTTTTTTCTGAGAAAAATCCGAAGCGACGCGGACGTCGCGCGTTTGATCGCGCGGCCGAGACGTTTCTAGGAAAAACGGGATTTCAGAGACAGAGAGAAAAGATTCAGGTTTTCACACCACAACCGATCGCGCGACAGGGGAAATCGGAAAAAGCGAGAGAGAGAGAGAGAGACGGTAATGCGAAATCAACGAATGAGAGAAACTTTCGGACTCTCGGAGTCGAAGGAAAGGGACACCGCCCCTGTGCGAGCGATCGTTAGCATGACAAAGAAAATTCAAACAAACAAACAAACGGACTAACCCAATCACGGCGCACGGCTTTGTATCGTTCGAGCTCGACACCTCTAATTCGTCAAAGAAAAAAACAAAAAAAAAGATACAAAAACAATGGCCGAATTATATATCATGTGCGAACTATCGAATAACTTTGTGTAATCGAGCTGTTCATCAGTTTGATTGGAGCTTGTCGAGCTTAACGGCACGAGACTGAAGCGTCACCGGCTCGTGTGGCATCCCCGCAAAGGGTGTTCACGTCTGGCGACACACGACGGGCCCCCCCCCTCCCACGGGTGGGTCCGCCAGTTATACTCTCGGCGTTCGGTATGCGTTTGGTACAAAGATACATCAGTTTAAGGAAATGAATAAGACTAATCGTGTTTTTATATAAGAGAGACGTAGAGAGACGGGAGATTTAAAAAAAAAAAAAAAGGTGATGATGTAATGTTTAATCTATTTTTTTTTTCTTTTTATTATTTCTTTCGGGGAGAGGCTGAGGATGATGGAATATCTGGAGTGTGCGCGCGCACACGTATATATTATCTCTCGCGGCTGTTAATCAATAAGATCGGAACCTCCGCGCAACAGGAGAGGAGAAGACGGGCACGTTCTCGACGCGTCTTCGGTGCCAATTGCGGTCTCTTGAATTTATTTGCCGTCGTCAGTTGTTATTGATTTGCTAATCTCGTTTGTCTTTTTCTTACACTAGAAAACAAGTTTTCCCGATTATCACTCAAAAGTTGCGACTGTGGTTGTAGCAATTCTCGCGTTTGTCAAACCGCGATCGTCGATTAAGTAAGGATGAGACATATAGACACGCATTTGGTGCTGAACGTGCGACGAATAATTGAGTCTTTTCCTCCTTCATTTCGCGGGGAATAATAATTTTGCCAGAAAGAAAGTGTGCGAGCAAGCGCACGGGTGTATCGAAAAGAAAAAAGTTAGACGATAAGATAAAGAAAACGAAAGAAAGAAAATGAGATATAAGATCGTAGGTTTATTTTTGATATATTGTTGAGGAGACTCTGATAGAATCTTTCTTTTTCAATATATTTTTTTGTTAGATGTTTTTAATAACTTAATGAATTTTAACGATATTAAGAGTGTGAAAAAAATAGAGATTTTTTTTTTTTTTTAATGTAAGATATAAGAGAGAGATAGAGATAGAAAGAGAGAAGAGAGAGGAAAAAAAAAGCGAAAGAGTGATTTCTCGCGGGAGGAGAACGGATTAAATTAATGTTATAGAAAGAGAGAGAGGATTAAGAATTTAATCGGGGGACGAATTACATAAAACACAGGACGAGGCGCGCAGCTTTTTGCGCTGTGCTCGCTCGCGCTTTTTTGGGAAGGGGGGATTAAAAAAAAAAAAAAAAAAAAAAAAAATGGAAGAAGATTGTGACATAAAAGAGATTTTTTAGTCGGGGATATAAAAAAAATTTGTATAATATATTTAATAATATATTTCGAAGATCGCGTATAGCGGTCGCGGGTCCGCTCGGCGAGGCCGTCGACGTCGACGGGCCCCGGAACCTCGCAGTTTTATGCGAGGGATCCCGGATCGTCGTACCCCCTTTCTCGCACACAGAGAGAGGAGTACTCTCGCCCGCAGATCCGCGCTCCGCGGTTATTTATCAAACATAAATATTTAAATAATGAGAGAGAGAGGTAGTGAGAGAGAGATTGTATTAAAGCTAAAAAGTAAAGAGAAAAAAAAAGAAACAAATTGCGAAACGGAAGAAGTGCCAAGGGTTAAGAGAAACACGTTCGCACAACACACACACGCAAAACCTCTCTAGTGTATGTATAAAAATTTAAAATTATACAGCAATAGACTGCAGATTAAATAGGACGAAAACAATCACAGAGACGGAAACAGGGAACAACCGAAGCGCACTGCTCTTTTTTTTTTTTTTAGAAACGGGAAGGAAGAATAGAAACAGCTCTCGTTTATATTCTCACGATCGACAAAAACCAACCAAAACAAAAAAAAAAAAAAAGAAATCATTTACGCTACTTCGAAGAAACGTCATCATCATGTTTGATTTACTTTTGGCCCGCACTTCAAAATTTCGAGTCGATGAAGAGAGAACAACCGGACACCATGAGAGAAGCACGACGCAAAGCAAGACACGCGAATCGCCCATTTTTATAGAGTTACCCGTCGTCGTCGGGAAGTCTTGCGGGATGTGCGTTATACCACACACACGTTTCCGTGAGATCTCGTTGAGCCGACTCACGACGGGGACCATCGCCCACCCGCCCTCTTTCGGAGTATCTCTTTAGAAATTGAAGCAACCGAAAGCTTTTCCGATCCGGAGGAAACTGCAGCCTGTATTCGGTATTTCGACCAAAGAAACTTACATCTATTTATTTTCGTGGATGTCAAGTCTTTGTGTTTGTGCGCAAACATATTGGAACTTTATGATACACCAGAAGAAAGTTTTACAGAAACAGAAAAAGAAAATTAATTTTGAAAGAAAAAATAAAATTGTATAGTAATATTTTTATACAATTATAAACGCAATATTAAATATTTTGTGTTAAATATTTAATATTAATATTTAATATTAATATTTAATATTAATATTTTTTAATATTAATATAAATTTAATATTTTCAATATCAACAATTTAAAAATATTTGATATTAATAGTTTTAGTTTTTACTATTTTTAGAAAGTAGAGAAAAACTCGACGCTTACGAATCTACATGGATGTACGCGATTTTGGGCGGGAACGCCGAAATTGCTGCGTTCTTCCTGCGGATGGATTGACGGTAACCCCGCAAAGTGAAAACTCACACCTTTCGCTCGTTCATCGGGTCTTCAGTTCTCGGATAGTTATTTTTTGTTTTTGTTTTGTTTGTTTACAAATTTTCGGATTAATCTTTCGGACCAAGGAGCGAAAAAACATTTTTAAAAAGCAAAATTTATATATTCTCTTTATTGCAAATGCATGCAGAAGACGGTAAACAAAACCATTGTTCGGCCAATTTCTCAGCATTCAGAAGAAAA